CAGCTCTTCACAATCCAAAGAAAACCCATCCATGACCAGATGTCCTCTGGTGAATTCTACCAACATTTAAGGAATATTTAATGCCATAACTATCAAAACTCCTCCCCAAATTACATGGGTAGGCTCTTCTTTGTTCATTCTATGAGACCAGTGTTACTTTGATACTAAAGCTGTAGACATTAAAAGAAAATTATAGAGCCATATCTTTTGTGAATACTGATGCAAAAATCCACAACAAAATACTAGAAAAATCTGGGTTGAGGTTGTGACTCAGTGGCAACATGCTTGCCTGGCACATGTGAGGCACTAGGTTTGATCCTCAGCGCCACATAAAAATGAGCAAAAATAATGATATGTTGTCCATATATTAAAAATACTAGAAACCCAAATTCAGGTGCATATTGAAAGGAATATACTCAATGACCATGTGGATTTATATCTGGTAAGTGGTACTTATATGCCACATAAACAGAATGAAAAATAAAAATTTCATGATCTCASTGCAGAAGATTCACTTGACAGAATTCAACAGTATTTCATGAGTAAAACAAGCCTCAACAACAACAACAAAAAAGGAATAGAAGGAACTATCACAAATAAATAAAAGCTAGATATTGAAAAACTTGCCAGTTATCATCAGACTAAATGGTGGGAGACTGAAAGTTTTTCCTCTAACAGAACACAGTAGGGTTGCACTGCTTTCTCCAAATCCATTCAGCATAGCATTGGAAGTTCTAAAAGCAACAGGTAGAATAACGAARTATTCAAACTGGAAATAAAGATGTGAAACCATCTCCACTTCCAGATGATATGCTGTAAATATATAAATGTTCTATTGCTGGGGGCTGTGGTGGCACATGCCTATAATCCCTGCAACTCAGGAGCTGAGGCAGGAGGATTGCAAGTTCAAGACCAGCCTTAGCAATTTAGGAAGGCCCTAGGCTACTTAGTGAAACCCTGTCTCAAAAAACAAACCAACAAAAAGGCTGGGATGTTGCTCAGTGGTTAGGCACCCCTGGGGTTCAATCCTCAGGACCAGAAAACAAGCCAACCCCCCCCCAAAAAAAAAATCTGTAGAAAACATAAAACCAATTATGAAATCAGGGAAATTAGAGTATTGTGAGTTCAAAGCCAGCCTCAGTAACTTAGTGAAACCCTAACCTACTCAGTAAGACCCTGCCTCTAGTTAAGATATTTTAATAAGGACTGGMGGTGGGGTGCTGGGGTTGTGGCTCAGTGGTAGAGTGCTTGCCTGGCATGTGTAAGGTTCAATTCTCAGCACCACATATAAATAAGTAAATAAAATGAAAGTCCATCAGCAACTGAAAAATCTTTTAAAGTAATAAAAATAAAAAGGGCTGGAGAGGTGGTTAAATGCTCTTGTGTTCAATTCTAAAAATAAAAGAAGAAAATCCAAATGATATACATATAACTTGTGATAATTGAATTTGCTAAGTTTAGTGGTATAAGATCCAGTGTAATTTCATTAGAAGTGGTTATAATAATCTTATCTTCTAATCCCCATCTCAAAGGTGAAGTTTTCATCATTGCCTCATTATTAAATTTTATGCAATGCATTTTAGTTTTGTTCATTTTTTTCTAGAAATATAGTTCCTAAATGTACAAATAACTGTTACAATGTTGTTCACAATATCCTACAATTTTCATTGATGTTCTCTTTTATATTTCTGGCCTTGGTAATTTTTTATGTCTTTGTTGCATGGTCATTCTCACCACTATTGTCAATTTAATGGTTTTCTCAATAGGTGTGTGTGTGTGTGTGTGTGTGTGTGTGTGTGTGTGTGTGTGTATAAACTTCATTTCATTTGTTTGGCAATTTATCAATCTGCTCTTAAGTATTCTGCCATTTTCTTTTTTTGGTTTTGTTATTTCTTTATGAACGTCCTGAGATGGATATTTTCCCCTAATTGATTGTTAGTTTCCCTTCTATTTTAATATACCCATTTAAAGCTCAACATTTCCCTCTGTATATCTAATTTTTGTGTTTCTTTTGGTGGTTCTGTCCACTTTTGCTTTATAAAATATTAGCTTATACTTCATGGTAACTTGAGCCTTTTAATCATTATAAAGGGTCCCTGTATGTTAACTATTTATTTATTTATGGTGTTGGGAATTGAACCCAGAGCCTTGTGCGTGKGAGGGAAGCACTCTACCAATTGAGCTATTTCCCCAGCCCCACCAACTATTTTTTTTCCTTTTAGTTCATTTGCTCAAGCGTTAGTATAAGAAAAATTTAAATTATAGAAATAATTTGAAACCTGGGATGATAGTATTTTTATTGAGAGAAGATTTTTATTTACTTTTGTGAGGGCCAGAAAATGCTAACAAAATACATCCACCATCATGCAGCTTCAGGGATTTGGTACTTTGGTATCAGTTCCTTCTAGAGAAGTCCTATTTCCCTTTTCCCAATACTCCTGTGGAGAAGGTCTTTGATGGTTACCAAAGGAAATGAACTCCTATTCCTTGAAAATGACCCCTTCAATAAGTCTGCTTTAGTTCATTCCAGATCTTATACAACACCATAACTGGCTAGGTTATAAAGAACAGATCTTTAYTCCTCGCGGTTCTGGAGGCTAGGAAGTCCAAGTTCAGGGTGCCAGCGGCTTCAGGGTTTCTGAGGGCTCACTTCCRGTTCATAGGTACTTCCTTCTAGTGATTTCTTCACGTAACTGAAAGAGCAAATGAGCTCCCTCGGGACACTTTATTGACAGTACTAATCCAATTCACGAGGAAAAGCTCTCATGATGCAATCACTCCCAAAGGTCCAGCTTCCTAATACCATTATCTGGTGGGTTTGATCTCAACACATGAATTTGGGGGTGGGGACGGTGACACAAGCACTGCTATCACAGCCAATATCTAAAGCCTAGTCTGCTTCTCAGTCTTCTAAGAACCTACAGTCTTCTAAGACTGACACACAACAATGAACAGACATTTGCCCAAAACCTTCTCAGGGATTTCTGGGAAGTGAAAACTAGGAGGGCAGAGTATTTGGATACTTCGGCTCCAGGGAACCGGACTTTGTCTCTCGGGAAATGTAGTCCAGGACTGAAGTACTGTGGCTGGTTTCCCGCCTAGAATCCTGGGACCTGGAGTCTAAGCTCCGAGCATCTCGCATACTTCCGTTTCTAAGCCCTTCCTGTAAACGGTCCCTCTCCCCCGCGGAATCCTGGGAATCGTAGTCCCGGAACTCCTGGACTSGCAGGCTCTTCCAGTGGGGGAAGGCAGTTCTGGGGAGTTCTGGATGAAGCAGTGTAGCCCAGGAGCTTTGGGTAGTCGCCGGTACTTCCGCTCCAGGAGGATGGCGTAGCAGCCATCTTTTCTCGGGCTTTAGTGGTTTTGATCTTCTCCCCTGAAACCTTTCGAATGTCTCCTAAATGTACTTGGAAACAACACTTGGCAGTCTTTCGTTTGGGGAGGACCGGCTGACAGCGGATGTTTGCGAATGGCGTTTTGCGTTCTCTAGGGCGGAGCTTCCTTGAATTGGGGGCGTACCTGGGTCGTGCTTCACGGAGTTTGAGGGTCTCCCCGGGGCTCGCGCCTCCTGCCCGACTCGCCCACCTGCGAGCCTGACCTGCAGCTTCAGACGGTCTCACCTCGGACCTCCTAGTTAAGCCCTTTGTGCTTTTGATTGTTGTTCTGTAAAAGGAAAATACAAGTTACACCTTCAAATGATGGAATATTTTGAGAAAAACGTGGTATACTACAAAAGATTTAAAACTGCCTGGTACATGGGTTTTTCTTGATACTACTAAAAATTTTCCGAGAAGCGCTTGTTTCTGGACTTCGTCTGTCGGGAAATGTAGTCCAGGACTGAAGTGCTGAGCGTCCGTGAGGTCAGGAAGCAACTGCAGCATCCCTAAACCATTGACCTTTCAAAGAAGGGGAGTGTTGCTTCTAGCTGGTCTGGAAGATGTGACTGAGACTGATCGGAGGTGGAGACACAACCCTGGCTTTTCACAGCCTCCTTTTCTTCACTGTTCCTGACTTGTCCAAAAGCACTGCAGAAAAGAAGAGGCCGCAGAGCCCCACGTGAGTAAGGCTTGTCATTCCTCAATTATCACATAAATCTGAGAATGTGAAACAGTTAAAGCCTAAGTTGCTAAGTTCCATTCTAAGGGCTTTATACAGATGAAGCCCTTCAGAGTGCTTTGTGAAGTGGTACCGCTATTTTTCCTACTGTGAAGATGAGGAGACTGAGAAACAGGCAACGTAACCTGTTTGCCCATGGTCCATTACTAGCAGGTGGCAGGAATAGCATTGGATCCTAAGCAACGTGAATCCAGATCTGAGCTCATCCTGTCTTTGGTCTGGTCTCTCTGGGTCATAGGACTCTGGTCACTATTGTGTCGAAATAGGCCGAGACTTGAGGGGATCTTGAGAGCAAGATGTGGGTTTCATTTTATTTCAAATAATATTTATGTTATAGAAATAATCTTTAATCATGGAAAACACAAATATATAAAAACTTTAATTACCACAATTATAGCATGTAAAAATAACAAATATTAATAGTTTTGTGCCTTTTTTGTCATCATTGTTTATGTTTTTGTTTAGCAGAGGTCTTTTGGGGAGACACTAATAGTCACTGCAGTGCTTTTGAGACTGGGATCTCCTAGGCATGATTGCACTCCTTTATCATCCCAGCTGCTCTGGAGGCTGAGGCAGAAAGATCACAAGCTCAAGACCAGCCTCTGAAACTTAGACCTTGTCTCAAAATAAATTTTAAAAAGACTGGTGATGTAGCTCAGTGGTAGGAAGCATGTTTTATCCCTGCTATGGCAAAAAAAAAAAAAAAAAAAAAAAAGGAAGAAGAAGAAGAAATGAGTCTACAAATCAACAGCATTAGGATCACATAGTGAGAAATACCCAGCCTTAAGTCTCATCTAAGACCTTCCACTTTAGAATTTCTGTAGATGGAACCCAGAAATTGGGATTTCAACAAAATCTCAAGGTGATTCCTACACAGGCTCAGGAAAGGGACCTACTTAGAAACTCAGGCCTAAGGCAATTGATCTTGCCAAATGTCACAGTTAAAACTGAGCTGGCCACATAAGCATCCTACTTAGTCCAATGATTTTGTTCAGTAAATTTTGCCAGTTATCAAGTCATCTAAAAATCCTGACATGAGCAGAAGGCAGCTAGCAAGTCTCGAGTTAACATGGAGAGAATTAGAAATGTGAAGATAAATTTTTCCTGGGATTTGGGGAATAGGTTCATTGCTCTTTTGTACCAGAGGATTTTTGTCTAAAGTGGCAAGATTGGCCACTAGTAATTGTCAATTAATGCTAGATACTTTTTTTTTCCTATAGTCATCGTTACTATTATTACTACTGTTATTGTTACTACAACAATTTCCTGATTTCATTAGTTTTTTATTTATTTACTTATTTTGGTGTTGGGGATTGAACTCAGGGGCACTTGACTACTGAGTCACATCCCCAGTCCTATTTCATATTTTATTTAGAAACAGGGGCTCACTGAATTGCTTTATGCCTTGCCTTGCTGGCTTGAATTCATAATCCTCCTGTCTCAGCCTCCCAAGCCATTGGTATTACAGGTGTGTGCCACCACACCTGGCTAGTTTTTATTTTCATATAAATTTTAAACTTTCAGAAAAGTTGCAAAACACTAAAAGGAAATCTCATACTCAACTGAGATTCACTAGTTGTTTGCATCTTGCCTATTTTCTCTGTTGGTAACCATGAGTCAAATAACACCAGGAACATATCTGTAACCAAAGGCATTTAATTTTATTTTAGCTTGCTGCTAAAGGGAACCCACATACTGTTGGGAATCAGGCCTGGGGTCTCTTGGTAAGAGGCAGTTAGGAGGAGCTGGTTGTAGCATTTTGACTTATATAAGCTGAGATGGGGAGAAGTGTAGGCAGTGAGTTTGTTCTGGATTTGATGATGTCAATAATCAGAAGTAATTTGATGACCAAGTATTCTAATAATTTTTCCCTAGGAGGTGGGAGAAACCAAACAGATTAGAGTTTTCACTAGTAATGAAGTGGTCACTCATGTTAGTCAGGAGAAACAGTTATTTGGTTATTTTTTTGCTACTGTAGAATGTGCCTCTGTGTTAGAATGTCTTCTTTTCTTTCTTGTCCATCACTATCACTGAATGGCCTTGCCTCATTTTTGTTGATCAGCTGGAAACATCAAGTATTGGCCCTTGCCACTACTAGCTATTAGAGCTTTTTTTTTTCTTTTCTACAGCTTTATGTATATGTACGTATACATATGTGTTTGTATACTTATATGTACACATTTTTTCCCCAACTACTAAAACAAGCTGGAGACAATGATTAAAATGAAATTAATTACATTGATAGCATACTGTTATCTAACTCACAATTCATATTTAAATTCATTCAACTTTCTCAATAAAGTTGTTGTTCTCAGAGTCTTTGAGAACACTTCACCCCCAGGTCAGAGATTAGCCCAGTTTTATTGCACATTGCACATAAGTTTTTTATTGCATTGCATATAAGTTTTTGTTTCATTAGTCACTTTAATCTACAAGGATTCCTCAAACTTTTTTTTTTTTTTGCTTTGGATATTTTTGTAAAGTTGGCAAATTATTTTGTGGAATGTCCCCACTCTTTTTAGTTTATTTGGTATTTGTTCATGATAATCAGGCTGTGTATTATCAGCAGAAGTGCCACAAAAGTGAGCAGGCTTCCTTCTCTGTGCATGATGTAAGTCAGATGTCACTCAGTGGTGGTCTCAGCTTTGTTCTTTTGGCTAAGGGCCAATACTTGATGTTTCCAGCTAAACAACAGGTTATCTTTTTCCTCAATACTTTGAGATTATGTAGCTATCTTTTTCCTCACAAACTTCCACCAACTTTTAGCACTCATCAGTGATTTTCTAGTTATTTTTTATTCTAAATGTATTAGTGTATGTGTTTTATAGAAAGGACTTTTTCTCTTCTCATTTATTTGTAACACATTATTTATAACAATATGAACTCAGATTTCTGTCTTTCTCACTTAAACAGAGTGTAGATTGTCACACTTTTTTATTGCAGTATCTTAATTTTATCAGTTTCTTTACCTCTATGCATATGTGCTAAAAGGGTACTTCCCACTTAAAAAGGAATAGCAAAGGCTGGGGGTGTGGTTCAGGAGTAGAGCATGTACAGTGTCCTGGGATAAACCCCTGGAACCACAAAACAAAAAGGAAACATCACAGATTTCTATACTTTTTAAAGTTTTCCTAATCAATTTAAATACTGTTGTTGGTCTTGGAGTATACTTTAGTGGTAAAGTATTTGCTTAACATTCATGAAGCTTTAGGTACAATCCCCTGCACAGAATAATAATATTAATAGTAATAATAGTAATAATAATAATAATAATAATAATAAAAAGTATTGTTGTTGGGGTAGAAAATTATTAAAGACAACCAAATATTTTTTAGAAGTTTTAAGAGATTTTCACATCGAAGAGGGCAACAACATGTGAGCTCCGAGTACCTTAAAATATTTGGAGCAAGTGCCTTTGCTAATTTGCAAGGAGCAACCACATGGGTTAGTTACATACTTTCTCAGTTTCTGATGATTTCTCTCTTTTCCTAGTTCTTCTTCTTAGGACTCTGCACTCCCTGGAAAGATAAAGATGAACACATTCAAGGTGAGTAGAACTTACCTTTCTCACTACTAAAAGTGCCTCTTTAAAAAGTGCTCAGAGATTGGAAGTGTTTCAAAGCAAGTCAAGTCATGAGGACGTGCAGAATGTACCAGGTGCTTGTTTTGTCCCTTTTAAGTTTAGCTGGTTGGTATTAGTTCTTGTTTTATTTCATTTTTTACTTTACAAATAAAACTCTATAGACTAATGGACAGGTATGCTCATAGTTATATGTTTCTGTTCATAACAGATACAATTTTACTTAATCTCATGTATTCTTTAGATTCTATGCTGGGAGTCAAATCCAGGGCATTGTGCATGATGGGGAAGCTCTCTGCCACTGAGTTATATCCCCAAGCCCCTAAATGCTTCATGTTTTCTTTTTGTTGTTGTTGTTTAATGTTATACAAATTTATTTTTAATTGCTTTACTAAATTTCCACCAAATTTATATACCCAGTTCTTAAACTATTCTCTATGTAAACATTTATTATAGTCAGGACTTTCACTGTTTCAAGAACACTACAGTGAACAGTGTTCCTACATTTAGCTTTTTCTGAAAAGTCAATTTTGAAAAATACTGCATTTTTAAAGGGATTCTTAATATACTAGGTGTTCAGAATTGAAAAGATATGTCCTACATGTGGTACCTTAGATATTTTGGGTAGATTTAAATACAGCCCAATGCATCAGATTTGACTACTGCTTCACATAGAAAAACATTGCTCAACATTTTCTTACCACAAGATTTAGATTCTGTTTTTCCCATGCCCGAGTCATACTCTGTGTATATTTCATTTACTGATCTATTTTTTTTTTCTCTGTGGGTTTGGTACTAGCAATTGAACCCAGGGGCGCTTGACCACAGAGCCACATCCCTATCTCTTTTTAATTTTTTTTTAGATTTTGAGACAGGGGCTGACTAAGTTGCTGAAGCTAGCTTTGAATTTGGAATCCTCCTGCCTCAGTGTCTTGAGTTACTGGGATGTGTGCCTGGCTTTTTAATTTTTCTTCTTCTTCTTTTTTTTTTGCCCAAGTAATATATGACATTAATGTAAAAAGTCTAATGTAAAAAGTGGTACTAGAGAACTTGCCAGGCACTTATGCTCTATCACTGCATTTATGCCTTAGCTGTATGAGGAGGTACTGTGTTTCCTCTTCATTTTAAACATAAATAAAAGTGGCTGTGAAAAGTATTCACATGGAATACTAAAGATCTAAGGTGAAGGTATCAGGTTCTAGTAAAAGATGGAGAGATTTGACATTCCCTGTGGTTTATTTCAACCTATACACTATTTAAAGTCATCTGGCTCTCACCTCAGTGGGAAGGCAGCTGCTATCGGGCACTGTTGGAATTTAATTGATAAAAAATTCTGAGGAAATTGGAAATCTTAATTAAAATGTTTACATTTACATCCACTAGATTTCTAAGGAGCTTACTTATTATAGTATAAGCCCCAGGTCTCTCTTTCATAGTAGCATTTTTGGTAAGGCTGAGGAAAATCAGTGTATGGCATCAATGAGATAGAAGGAAAAGGGCTGGGGAACCTACACATGGCTCAGAGTCCAGTGAGACCTCCCACCCATTATTTCTCTCTTCTCAGTGCTATCCCTCTTCCAGTGGACACTGTAAGATTGAAGTCATATGTGTGTGTTGTAGGAAGCTGTGACTTTCAAGGATGTTGCTGTGGCCTTTACCGAGGAGGAGCTGGGACTGCTGGATCCTGCCCAGAGGAAGCTGTACCAAGATGTGATGGTGGAAAACTTCAGGAACCTGGTCTCAGTGGGTGAGGCCTCCCTTTCAAATAACTCTGTGACCTTGGCGTTTTAATGCTTTGAGGTTCTTGAAATAGTTCCCAGACTTTCCTAATTCCTGTGGGCTACAGAAGCAGGATGTTTCTGATCTTTAAAGAAAGATACATGGACAGCATATTACTATTCCTTGCCTATTCTTTTTCAAATTTTGCTTCTGTCCCATTATTGAATTTTAAAACCAATTTATTGAATCCTATCAGCAATTTTTAATTAAATAAAAGAGGGTAGGAAATATTGGTGCTCCTTAGGAAAAATGGTACACATTCTAGCAAAAACTGGCCAACTGCATGAATGGTGTAAGGGTCAGTAGAAAGAAATTTAACAAAAACAGACATTAGATGAGTCATTCAGCTGGACATGGTGGTGTGTGCCTGTAATCCCAGCTACTTAGGAGCTGAGAGAGGAGGATCATGCGTTGGAGGCCAGCATCGGCAACTTAGCAAGACCCTGTCTCAAAGTTTAAAAAAGGGCTGGGAATGTAGCTCAGTGGTAAGAATGCTTGCCTACCATGAATGAGGTCCTGGGTTTAATCACTAGTATCTTCAAAAAAGAAGAAGAAAAGAAAAGGAAAGAAAAATATCATTCAGATTTTTTGTATTGTATGTTTTGTACACATATTTGGTTCATGAAATAAATGGTATTTCTGTAATGGGTGATTTTTTTTTTTTTTTTTTTTGTGATGCCAGGGATTGAACTCAGGGCCTTGTGCATGGAAGGCAAGCACTCTTCCAACTGAGCTATGTCCCAGCCCACATGGGTGATGATTTTTTTTTAAGAAAGTGTGATAAACACTATTTTCAGTGTCTTGAATAAACATTTGTAACTGTTTCCAGTACATTTTAGCTCTACCATGTCTTTTAAACTTATGACTTTGCCTGTTCATAGAGCATCAGTTCTTCAAACGAGATATATCATATGCAGAAAGAGAAGAAAAGCTTTGGATGATGAAGACAGCAACCCAAAGAGAGACAAGTTTAGGTAAGGACCAAGCAGTTTTGAATCTTTATAGTTAACTGTCCATCTCTTTTGTTCTCATCACCCCTGTTGCTGTCACCTGGCACAACTTGCAAATTCTTTCCTGGATTATTGCAGCAACCTTGGTACTGATTGCCCTCTCCCTTTCTTCCCCTTCTACAGTCTATTCTCTGACATGGCACTCAGAGTAATCCTTTGTAGCCTTAAGTTAGAGTGTGAGATATTCCTCTGGTCAGAATTCTCTTGTGGCTTATTTTACTTAGAGTAAATCCACATTTTATGGGTGTTCAGATTTATACACCTTTAGAAGACATTTCACATAGTGACACCATTATTGCTTGTGATGATTCTCTGATCATTTCTAGTCTGTTCTAAACATTTATCACTAGCTATTAAATTTATTGCACATTTCATTAATGGTCTGAATTTATCAGTTTGGAAAACATTCTTGTCAAAGGCAAATGTCTCTGCATCTAAAATTTTCTGTACTTTGCTTTTAAAGAGTCAGAATTCTTCTTGCCTCTGAATTTTGACTCTTGCTTGAGAAAGTAGAAACATGTTAGAAAGATTGCATAAAGGCCTTAGAAAAAGTCTGGGCATGTGGCTTAGTGGTAGAGTTCTTGCCTGGCATGTCTAAGACTCTGAGTTCAATTCTCAGCACTGCAAAAAAAGAGGAAGGGAAAAAGGAAGAAAGGAAGTAAGGAAATCTTTAGAATGATCTAGTACACAAATCTTCATGCTTTTATTTCACCCCAAGTGATTCTTACCATATTTTATTTTTGTCCTCAGCATTAACACACTTGGTATACCCCTGCTTCAAGTACAACTTTGTGCCTTCTCAGCAAAACTGCACTTTCTATTCTTTTTGGATTTCATATACTTTATTTTTAAAAACAAAAACAAAACAAAACAAAAACCCCTTGCATCTGATCTAGCTCAAACTTGAATTTGGAATTATGAGAATCCCAGAAGTCAAATTGTGATTTATCTGTGCATCCATTGCTTGAACACCTTCTAAATGCCAGTACTATTTTGGGCAGTAGTTATAAAACTCTGAGCTCCATTTTGTCCTTATTGATACTGTGTTGTAATAGGAATGACTTGTAATTTTAATGAAAAGATTTAGGTATGTCAGTAATTGTGTTCTTAAATGAGTTTCAGTAATGCTTAGTAGTTGGGAGCTTAATGGACCATCTCTTGGTTTCTGCCAGTAAACCAAAAGCCTTAATATATGGTGAAAAACTGGACTGGGGATGTGATTCAGTGGTTAAGTGCCCCTGGGTTCAATTCCCAGTACCAAAAAAAAAAAAAAAAAAAAAAAGAATGTCCTATATGGTGAAAAACTGTGCTAAACCATCCTGAGTTTTGTTAGTGTCTCTTACTGTTCCTAAGTGAATCTTCAAGTAAAGCATTTACTTGTTTGTGTCTCTGAATTCTGTTTTTATAGGAGAGAACAATCAAAGTGAGTTAAGGACTGTTCAAGACAGAGAATCCCATGAAAAACTTTCCTGCTGGCAAATCTGGCAACAAATTGCAAATGACTTAACCAGGTGTCATGGTACCATAATAAATAATACTCAGGTCCACAAGCAGTGTTATTCCCCCTGCCAGGTTGGGACAGGACTACCTGTTCAAATTTCTGAAGATGAGAATTTTAAACAGAATCATAAAGCTGATGGTCCTAGCCACACTGAAGACTCAGAGTTTCCAACTTTAAGAATCCAGGATTCTTGGAGGAAAACTTCCATGATTGAATCACAGAATTATCAGAGTGGATATCAACAGATTTCCATGAAAAATAAACTCTGTCAATACAAACAGAGTATTGACCCCATCAGTTGGATTTCACATCACCATGATGATCTTAAAGTAAACAGAAGTGAAAAATCTTATGGCCTCAATGAATATGGAAAAGAGAGCCTAAAGATTTCGACACTTTGTAAGCGCAGAATGACTCCCCCAGAACAGAAGCCTTACAAGTGTAATGAGTATAAAAAAGCCTTCAGTGATTTCTCCAGCTTTGATCCTCAGCAGCAACACTCAGGAGAGGAGTCTCAGACATGTACTGAATGTGGAAAAGGTTTCCATGACAGCTCAGTTCTTTGTGTTCATCTGAGAGTTTGCATGGAAGGAAAACATAAGTGTAATGAGTGTGGTAAGGAATTCAGCCAGAGCTCACATCTGCAAACCCATCAAAAAGTTCACACAAGAGTAAAACCATACAAATGTGAGCATTGTGGGAAAGCTTTTAGTCGTAGATCAGCACTTAACGTTCATTGTAAAGTCCACACTGGAGAGAAACCTTATAATTGTGAGGAGTGTGGGAGGGCCTTCAGTCAGGCCTCTCATCTTCAAGATCATCAAAGACTCCACACTGGGGAAAAACCATTCAAATGTGATGCTTGTGGTAAGAGTTTCAGTCGGAATTCACATCTTCAGTCCCATCAAAGAGTACATACAGGAGAGAAGCCATACAAATGTGAGGAATGTGGGAAGGGCTTTATTTGTAGCTCAAATCTTTATATTCATCAGAGGGTCCACACAGGAGAAAAACCCTATAAGTGTGAGGTATGTGATAAAGGTTTTAGTCGGCCTTCAAGTCTTCAGGCCCATCAGGGAGTCCACACCGGAGAAAAATCATACATATGTACTGTGTGTGGTAAAGGCTTTACTCTAAGTTCAAACCTTCAAGCTCATCTGAGAGTCCACACTGGAGAGAAACCATACAAATGTGAGGAGTGTGGGAAGAGCTTCAGGAGGAACTCCCACTATCAAGTTCATCTAGTGGTCCACACAGGAGAGAAGCCCTATAAATGTGAGGTGTGTGGGAAGGGCTTCAGTCAGAGTTCCTATCTTCAAATCCATCAGAAGGCCCACAGCATAGAGAAACCTTATAAGTGTGAAGAGTGTGGGCAGGGGTTCAATCAGAGTTCACGACTTCAGATTCACCAGTTGGTCCACACTGGTGAGAAACCATACAAATGTGAGGAGTGTGGAAAGGGATTTAGTCGAAGAGCAGATCTTAAAATTCATTGTAGAATCCACACAGGAGAAAAACCATATAATTGTGAGGAATGTGGGAAGGTCTTTAGGCAGGCCTCAAATCTTTTGGCCCATCAGAGAGTCCATAGTGGAGAAAAACCATTTAAATGTGAAGAGTGTGGGAAGAGCTTTGGTCGGAGTTCACACCTTCAAGCCCATCAGAAGGTCCATACTGGAGACAAGCCATACAAATGTGAGGAGTGTGGGAAGGGCTTCAAGTGGAGCTTGAATCTGGACATGCATCAGAGGGTCCACACAGGAGAAAAACCATATAAGTGTGGGGAATGTGGGAAGCACTTCAGTCAGGCCTCAAGTCTTCAGCTCCACCAGAGTGTCCACACTGGAGAGAAACCATACAAATGTGATGTGTGTGGTAAAGTCTTCAGTCGGGCTTCACAGCTCCAGTCTCATCAGAGAGTTCACACGGGGGAGAAACCTTACAAGTGTGAGATATGTGGTAAGAGCTTCAGCTGGAGATCAAATCTTACAATTCATCACAGAATTCATGTCAGTGATAAGTCCTATAAAAGAGATGGTAAGAATAAAGAATCCACACAGGAAGAAAGTTCTATAAAATGATTTTTTTTGGGAAGACTCAAGTGTCATGTGAATCCTTCAGTTCCCCAAAGAAAGAAATTTATTTCATTGAATTCAGTGTTTCAGCCTTAGCTCTTCACGTCCCAGTGGTTTAGAGCACATGAAGGAACTCTCATCATTGGTATACTAAAGGTTTCAGTCAGAACCTTGAACTTCAAGTGCTACTCAGAAGAGAGACCTTAGGATGAGTTTTATCAGGGATTTTGCAAATAGTATTATCATTGATATGCCAAAGTTAGTGTCTGCTGGAATGATAATTTATTTCATAAATGGAGAGACTGCTGAATCTGCATAATCTTAGCATTGCTGAGTACTTCATTGGTACTATATTTAATAAATGGGGAAAATGTGTAACTGAAAATTGCACTGGAATTACATACAGAATATTGCAAATTTGTAATCAGAAGAGATGTGAAAGTAACCATAATAAAATTAAGAGAGAGAGTTGAAATGTAGAAAAACACTCAGTACTTCAAACTACAATGTTTATTTGGTATTAGCCCCATTATGATTATCACCTGTCCTTTGCCAGATTTTCTTAAGAAGCTGTGTCCTATCCTATTGGACTTTGCCTAGTGTTCTTTTGTTTTATACAGTCTATTCAGTTATTTTTGTGACAATATAGAATGAAAATGAATCTTGTTCATCTTGGAATGGTAGGACTCTATCCTACTATTGATATTTTTTTTAAATATGTTTTTGGTTGTAGAGGGACACACAATAATTATTTATTTTATTATTAATTTATTTTTACGTGGTGCTAAGGATCAAACCAGTGCCTCACACATGCCTTTCAAGTGCTCTGCCACTGAGCTACAGCTCTAACCCCAACTATTGGTTATTTTCAACACCATTAAGGCAGAGATTTGTCAGAAGTTACTCCTGACAGATGTTTTTCATAGTAATTGTTGGAATTGATCATTTTCTTATTCTCTACATTTTCATCTGTGTTCTAATGGCTTTAATAAGTTTAATCAAACATGTTGCTTCTTGGGGCATTAATGACTTAATTTTTCCTAGCAGTGGAAATGAAGGAGGAGCAACTTGGAAAAAGAATTGGTCAGGATGCAGAATGTGCATCCTTTGGTAGAACAGGAACTTACTCCTAGGAGATTCAAATGAGTAGGAAGCACATCATTGAGGTTGCTGAGTTCTCTAAACATGGAAGTAAGCATTCACCAATATGAATTAATTTTTTAATTTAAAATTATACAGAAATTGTACATATTGGTGGTATGCTGTATGATGCTTCAATTAGTAATTTAAATAATTGTTTAAACTTATCTGCAATAACATCATTTAAAATAATGGCCAAGACTTATGACAGTACAAGAATAAATTTAATGTAGTGTAGGGAGAGCACCTTAAACTGGTGTGTGTCCATGTGCACATCCAGTCATGTGTGACAGGTTATTTACCTTACATAATAAACAGCAAAGAGAATCTTGAGGGATTTTTCCACATTTAGCTTTTGCATTTTAAAATTTTCAGTGAGAATTTTTGTAGTGAAATACTCTAAGTTCACACTAACACTGGTAGTAAAACTATATCAAATAAAATTTGAAATATTACTAAGAATATGTTAATGCCTTAGGGTTAATGAAACATAGCATATAAGATCAAAATTAAGAAACTCTGGAAATCGATTATTTTTTTAAAATGGTTTACTTGTTCAATCATACATTAGTGAGTGTGAATATCTATTTTCAGTTAATACACTTGAATCTCCTTGGGCATAAATCCATGCAGCCTAGAGGTGTATTTCCAGTAGTAGAAATTCATGCATCCTTGTTCTTGTGAGACTTGCTGTATAAATACAGAGTCCAGGGCACTACTTTGTCCTTTTTGGTGCTTGATCTGATTGGGGAAGTAGCTGAATTTTTCCAGACAGTGTGTGCCAAAGAGAATCTTGAGCTGTGGGGAAAAGGAATAGTGTGCAGGCTGATTACAAAGTAACAGGGTGAGGCAGATCCTGAAGATGGAGAGTGGAGATATTTAAGTTCTAGAGGTGTATGTAGAGAGGACAGCCTGACTCGGTGGAGCCTAGTGATGGGAACAAGCAGCTATGCAGGGCTGAAGACCAGTTTTTAGGCAATTCAGTTATCTTGGCTTTGGGGCTCTCTTCAGCAAAGGGTACATGTCATGAGAAAAGCTAAGTATGGAAAGACTATGCTACCTCAAATTGTGCCAGATATCACAAATCCTGGGTCTTTGATGTTTTGTATGTTCTTAGTAGATATATCAGGATAGCTTACCAACTCTCAAGGTGATTTGTAGTTTAGCGGGTTCAGCTAGAGGTTGGCACATTACCTCCTTTTGTCCAGATCCAGTCCAGAGCATTTGAAGCTATATTGGAATATGGCAGTGCCTAATTTATATGTTCTCTATGCTGCTTTCTTGCTATGGAGATAGTTTAGTCGTTGTGGCACACTATAGCCCACAAAACCTAAAGTATTTAGATTCTGACCTTTTACAGAAGAACTTTGTTGACCACTGTGTTAAAATGATTGGTCTTTCATAACTGAAAAGATCACATGTAGTTTAGGGCTTAGACCTGGTTCAGTCAGGATTCCCAAATGATTTCCTTTTGGTTCTTATATCTGCCTTTATGATTGACTTTATTTCTTAGGTTGGTACAAAGATGGCAGTGGCAGCTGGGGACTACCTGCTTCTTCACAGCTGATGGGAGACAGCTGCATTTTTCATTTGTAGTGTTTGGTAGTTCACTCTTTATTCCCAATGTACATAGTATTCTGACCTTGACTCCCATCTATGGTCAGGATTAAACTTCTAGCTGTGTGTCTAGCTTCCTTGGCCTTTATGGGCTATTGAGTTTCAACTCCCACTTGGCCTTCATGGCCTTGAGTTTTGGACCTCTGGAAGGTTTTTCTATTTTTGAGTTTGACTACATAGAAATATTTTAGGGAACTTTATATAGTATCAGCATATCTTTGTTGTTGAGAATAGAGGTACCAATAAGAAATTCAGTCAGTGGTTGGATGGCAACACATTGAATTCACAAACAGGCCTTAGGTCACAAGACATCATTTTAAGTAGAGAATCCTGAAAAACTGGAATGGCAACATACAGCAATAGGGCTGAGGGCTTTTACTTCCACACTTATCTAAGCCCCTCCTTTGCCATTAATAGGAGCTCCATCCTCCCCACTCAATGGACTGAAGAACCTATAACAACCTTTCCCAAGATAATTGGTCTTGCAAGGAGCTATAGATCTTTAAGACTTGCCTCCATTACCGCTAATATTTTTAGACTCAAGTTCTCACAGGCAATGAGGAAAGGAGTCTTCAGGCAAAAAGTATGACTATGGGGGCTGGGGTTATGGCTCAGTCTTAGAGTACTTGCCTAGGATGAGTGAGGCCCTGGGTTCGATCCTCAGCACCACAAACAAACAACAACAAATAAATAAGATAAAAATGAAACTTTTTTAAAAAGTATAACTGTGACATTATATTAGGCCAGTCAAAATAATGATTTTTAGATTTTGTATCAATCGAAACCTTAGAAAAATATATGGTTGCAGGGCATGGTGGCACATGCCTATAATCCCAACTACTTAGGAGGCTGAAGCAGGAGGATCCCAAGTTTGAGACCAGTGTCAGAAATTAGCAAGACCCTGTCTCAAAAATTAAAAAGGTCTGGGGATATAGTTGAATAGTAGAGTGCCCCTAGGTTCAGTCCCCCGTACTGCAAACCTGTGTGTGTGTGTGTAAAGAGAGAGGGAGGGAGGGAGGGAGAGTGTGTGTGTTTTGTACTTTAAGACATAGAATTCAGTGGAAAGAATACAGTGATAGATTTGTTGGTGTGGATACACTGAACAGTGATTGCAGACCCACTATGTTAACTTGAGCACCTGGGGATGTCTTCAACAGTTTGTTGAAAAGATAAGTTGGCTAACCCTTAAGTTAAAACACTAGAACTTTGTAAGTATGTCATAGAACAGTTTCTCGACCTTGGCACAATCAACATTTTAGACTGGATAGCTCTGTTTTGGGGGGATTATCTGTGCATCATAGGATGTTTGCCAGCATCATTGACCACTAACCACTAAATGCCCATGCATGCATGTCAGTTGTAATAGACAAAAATGTCTAGACACCTACTCAGGTGTCCCCAGAGGGCAAAAATCACTCCCAACTGAGAACACTGTTGTAGATGGTATACAAAGACATAGGAATGCTGACAATCTGGAAGAGATTTGACATAGAAAACCTGCTCACCCAACCCTGTATGGGTCTGGGAGTGTAGTGTCCAGAGGACACTCTTTACAAAAGGTATGAGAAATTCCCTGGGGAGGGGATCATTAACATCTCAGAGAGCTCTGTAGCGACTCTTCTTATGGACCAGGAATAAAAGTGGGAAATTTTGACATACAAATGGAAACTTGATGATGGAATCATCAGTGAGGATGATGGGATCCTGGAATGTTCATTGGCAGAGACAAAGTAATTGTGCTTATCATAATGATCAGAAAAGCAAAGGATCATCAGAATGGGTTAATAGGAAGAGGTTTCTGCATTCACTTATTGACTGTGGCATTCCTCCGGCTAAAGTAGATTAGAAATCTTGATTTGGTTAATTGGAAAAGCTCTAGATCTGGTAAATCAACTTAAGAGAGAATTGTGTCCCTTCATCTAAATTCTGTAATATGAGTTCCCACTTCCAGAGTACCTTGAATGAAGGGCGGATCAGGTCCTCTTGAGGAAATACCCTTGATATGCTACCCAAACTACTACTACTACTATAAATCATTCTAGCTTTCCCCCAAAAAGTGACTTGCAGCCATAGTTTGTGTGTATATATATTAGGTACATGGGAACAAATCAGAATTCAGAGTTAGTACTGGAAACTACTGCTAAATTGACATTAACTTTTAGAACCCCAAAATGTCATTGT